CAAGCTTTTCATTCTCATTTGCCCCCCACCCTCACCCTTTCAGGCCAGTTGTACTGGCATGGCAGAAGGCGAAATTGAACGAATCTGTCAGTCGGATGCTGCTTAATGTTCATACAGCACCAGTGCAGCCACTCCTGATATTATGTGTCTGAGTGAGACTGAGAGGGATTGTGCTCTTTGGTCCAGTGCAGGAAAAGGCTAGTAAGTGAGACAACCTGTGGGAATTATCCCAAACCAAGAGAGGCCTGAGGCAGTTTTTCTCTTTATTTCTGTTAGCTTTAGTTCCTGGGCTTGCTTTTAGACATTATTGATGTGTAACAAAGGAAACAGTCTAGTCACTGATTAATTGATTCAGTCCTTGCTGAACATGTGACAGTCAACTCCAAATGAGATAAACATTATGTGAAAAATCAAGTTCCTCCTTGTTTAAAATAACCACTTTGGATAAAAAGGATCCTGTCTACAGTTCATGAAAATACAGCAGCAAATCTTGAAGTGTGGCTCTGCCCCTGACACAGCCTGCATACGGTGTGAACACAATGCAGCTTTTTAAGCAGATAAGAACAGCGTAGGCCTAGAGTTTCAGATGGCAGCTGCAGCTCACTTTTGTAACTCTTTGTCATGGGGAAGTGGCTCTGACCTGAGCCCGAGGACACCCTTGGCCCTCTCGGTAATCATTGACTTGTTACCTGCGGCAACCAAGTCACAACATACTGTACTTCCACTGGACTGCTGATAGTAAATTGATAACATAGGTGCATAGACACATTCAGCCAGTAGCACATGCATATGTGCTCACACGGACTCCTAAAAGATCGAATCAGATATGTAACATTTACCTATGCTTTTCTCAGTAGGCCCCAGGAAAAGCTATTAGCCTATAATCATTTTCCTTATTTCCTTAAACAGGGTGTTACAGTAAAAACATACTTGCTCGGCCAACCTAAACTGTATAAATAAAACTTTAATAATAAAATATTACCTGCATACCAATCACAAAGGAGGAGATGTACAACAAGAAGGCAGCTTAGATGTGGGTGATGTTAACGATGCACCAATCTGACTTTGTCTTCTCTCATTTCTGACACTGATACTCAAATTATTTGTGGCTTTTTCCCTCCAAAATTAAAATCTGTAGTCTCTCATCTCAGTGATGAATTCATTGGTATCAGTTTTATATAATTTATTATGAGTGTCAGATTGCTGTTGTTGTCTTGGTTCACTTAATAAAGTCAGGATCAGGCCTGATATTGTTCCAGTGTACTGGATCTGTGCACTGTAGTTTTTGTTTGTTTGTTTGTATATTGGACTTTGTGCGTTTTGATTATTTATCAGATTTTGTTCATGATGAAAAAGTAACTAAAGACAATGAAAGGGAAAAAGGCACAATCAGCTCTCCTCGACTGAGCGGTGTGATCAATCAAGTCTTGAGTCTTTTCATGGCGCTAGGTGGGGCGTGGCACTGCACTGCAGCATATCTGAGGGGAACAGGCTACGGTACCATCCAAGGAGAGGAAAGAACAGCTAGAGGAGGGTAGCTGGGGGGGGGGTAGCAGTTTGGCCCTTGGCAAAGCCTCCTCCCACTTTTTCCACACCTCCCCTTGCCTCTCCTCCTTTTCCTCCTCTGAACTTGCTCCTTCCTTCTCTCCTCTCTCTTGCTGTTTTCTTGCTCCACGCAGAATGGTTTGTATCTGAGAGCACCGGCCTGAAATAAAACTAAGAGGGGCCTTGGTTGGCGGAGAATGCTTGCTTTGTCTCAGCAGCCATCCACACTGTCTGGAGACGGGAAAGAACTCAAAGAGAGTGTCTGATTGCAAATTAGCTGTTCCAAATGGAGTGTCCTGGTCACCTCCACAAGATTCAGGTTCCTTTTCTCCACTTCTTTCCTCTCCTCTCCTGTCCTCTCATCTCCTTACCTCCTCTGACATGTTACTACTTTAAAGTGTGGAAAACTTGTCAAAGTGTGGAGTCAGTACTTTTCTCACAATGTACATACAAACTGTATAAAATTAAAGATTGATGAGTATTGAATACTGAAGACCATTTAGATTTACAGTTTTAAGTGTAAGATAAGTGCTTAACACCATATTATCTATCAGCAGTACTAGCATCTCTTGATGTCATACTTCAAGTGATATTTCACTTTATTTCACCATTTTCCATTTTCCAGTGTAGTAATGTTAAAGTTTGACAGTTGCTGCTCTTTATAATGTCTACTTGGGTAATTGAAAATAAAATCAGATCGGGAAAAAGTTAGTTACTAAA